GATGACGACACTCGTAGCGAGTTTGGCGGTACATTAATATTAATAAGACGGCACATCTCAAATGTGCCCCTGCCGAATAGTGCCGAATCATAGCCCAAAGTAGGCAGTCTAAAAATAAACGTGATAAACCGTACGCTATTCTTTGTCAATATTATGTGAGCCCCGGAGCAATCCAGCGGAGTGCTTAAGTGAATTGTGATTGGTTCATTGTCTGTCTTGCCACTATATTATTATTAAGTGGCTCTGTGACCGTTAACCTGAGGGAAGTTAACGTGACTGTTCTACGAGTTGTGCCTTTGAATGATTTTGTAGTGGAGTGGTGAAAGTTATTACTTGAGTGTTCAGTCCCAATACAGGATGAACGAAATTGATGCTTAGCTTACAAACAAATTTACTACTAGAAATCAAAGCGGCAATTAAAAGAATGAAAATAAAAACACGAGGTCCTCCCTCACCAACCCAAAGATCCTAAAATTATACACCGTCTCATTTACTGCTATGCCCTTGACTATCTTCAGCATGCGATAGCTTATTGTGCACGTCCACTTTTTAGCCCCACGAGCCGCCTCTGGTTAAAATCTATCCAAAGAGGTTATAATAGTTCTAGTTATAACCTCGTTGAAACTCTCCAAATAACACGCACTCATAAATTATAGCCCGCCGAGGATTCGACTCGGAGTCCTCAGTAATGTAGCCTAGAGTGGGGCCAATGAAGGTATCTGTGTATCCATAACGCTCCTGAGCATCGACGTCTGTGTTGTAATACTAATAGACACTTTGGGGTTTCAAACTGAAGACGTGAGTTCGATTCCCATGTCGCGAAGTATCTTTGGTATCCCATAGCGCACATACGAAACTTGAAAGGCCGGTCACGACGTTCTGAACCTGACGCCCCCATGTGTCGCTAGTCCGTTTGTTGTGTGTTCATGATGTTGTGCTTTGATTCTACACAAAATATCTTCCTCTAGATCTATCTATTTTCAGTTGCGACTAACTGCAATCCATACAGTACTGCTCATTTTCTTAAGAGTTTTACGGCACTTGCAACACGGTTAGGTCATAGTATAAGTGCCGAAGATTAGGGGTGCTACAGGAGAGTAACAAACACAAAAATGAAGGAGGAGGGATAAGGACGATAGATATTTGATAGCAAAAAGGAGCAAACCACAGGAAACCCCTGCCAACCACCGACTGGCAGGGTTGGAGTAGCCCACCCAGAGAATAATCTATATTGCATCAATGGCGGTGAATGGCATCTTAAATCAGCCAATCAGTCATGAATCTTTAACGCCTCCTAAATTGTTGATAGAGGCGTAAAACATCTCAAATCAATCCACGGGTCACACATTTTTTGCATCTTTGTTTATTTCCGTGAAACACTTGGCATCTGCTGTAATGATATAGATCTATTCAAGAAAAGTATTAAGATTGCTGAAAAAAAAATATATGTAGAATCTAGCCTCTTTATGGATTCGTCACAATATATATATATATATATAAATGTGTGTGTGTGTGTGTGTGTA